CATTACCTGTATTATTTTTCAGCTCTCTTCAGATGACACGCGTGTCACAAACAACCAAAAACGCTAAATAATATTGGGGAAATGTCGATTTTTCGCCTGTACGTCGGTTATTTAGGGGAAAAGTCGATTTTTCCCCCTTTCGTCGTGTATTTGGGGGAAATTTGTAGACAATTCGACGTAACGTAGAGCATTTGAGTGAACCGACAATACGTCGGATATTTAGGGTGAAAATCGACAATTCGTCGAATATTTAGGCGAAAAATCGACAGTTTAGCAACATTCGAAACACAGAGCGACATAAAGGCGAAATTCCGCTTTATTTCCACCGGACAGGCGAAAAAGCAGACATTTCGGCGCATTTCCGCATTATTTCCCTCTTATTTTTTTCCAATGCATTTGCCCCTTTGTTCGCCTTTATTCGTTGTTTGGGATGCATTTGCAATTAAGCACATGTACGTTATTAATAAGACATTACCTGTATTATTTTTCAGCTCTCTTCAGATGACACGCGTGTCACAAACAACCAATAACGCTAAATAATATTGGGGAAATGTCGATTTTTCGCCTGTACGTCGGTTATTTAGGGGAAAAGTCGATTTTTCCCCCTTTCGTCGTGTATTTGGGGGAAATTTGTAGACAATTCGACGTAACGTAGAGCATTTGAGTGAACCGACAATACGTCGGATATTTAGGGTGAAAATCGACAATTCGTCGAATATTTAGGCGAAAAATCGACAATTTAGCAACATTCGAAACACAGAGCGACATAAAGGCGAAATTCCGCTTTATTTCCACCGGACAGGCGAAAAAGCAGACATTTCGGCGCATTTCCGCATTATTTCCCTCTTATTTTTTTCCAATGCATTTGCCCCTTTGTTCGCCTTTATTCGTTGTTTGGGATGCATTTGCAATTAAGCACATGTACGTTATTAATAAGACATTACCTGTATTATTTTTCAGCTCTCTTCAGATGACACGCGTGTCACAAACAACCAAAAACGCTAAATAATATTGGGGAAATGTCGATTTTTCGCCTGTACGTCGGTTATTTAGGGGAAAAGTCGATTTTTCCCCCTTTCGTCGTGTATTTGGGGGAAATTTGTAGACAATTCGACGTAAACGTAGAGTATTTGTATGAACCAACAATACGTCGGATATTTAGGGTGAAAATCGACAATTCGTCGAATATTTAGGCGAAAAATCGACAATTTAGCAACATTCGAAACACAGAGCGACATAAAGGCGAAATTCCGCTTTATTTCCACCGGACAGGCGAAAAAGCAGACATTTCGGCGCATTTCCGCATTATTTCCCTCTTATTTTTTTCCAATGCATTTGCCCCTTTGTTCGCCTTTATTCGTTGTTTGGGATGCATTTGCAATTAAGCACATGTACGTTATTAATAAGACATTACCTGTATTATTTTTCAGCTCTCTTCAGATGACACGCGTGTCACAAACAACCAAAAACGCTAAATAATATTGGGGAAATGTCGATTTTTCGCCTGTACGTCGGTTATTTAGGGGAAAAGTCGATTTTTCCCCCTTTCGTCGTGTATTTGGGGGAAATTTGTAGACAATTCGACGTAACGTAGAGCATTTGAGTGAACCGACAATACGTCGGATATTTAGGGTGAAAATCGACAATTCGTCGAATATTTAGGCGAAAAATCGACAGTTTAGCAACATTCGAAACACAGAGCGACATAAAGGCGAAATTCCGCTTTATTTCCACCGGACAGGCGAAAAAGCAGACATTTCGGCGCATTTCCGCATTATTTCCCTCTTATTTTTTTCCAATGCATTTGCCCCTTTGTTCGCCTTTATTCGTTGTTTGGGATGCATTTGCAATTAAGCACATGTACGTTATTAATAAGACATTACCTGTATTATTTTTCAGCTCTCTTCAGATGACACGCGTGTCACAAACAACCAAAAACGCTAAATAATATTGGGGAAATGTCGATTTTTCGCCTGTACGTCGGTTATTTAGGGGAAAAGTCGATTTTTCCCCCTTTCGTCGTGTATTTGGGGGAAATTTGTAGACAATTCGACGTAAACGTAGAGTATTTGTATGAACCAACAATACGTCGGATATTTAGGGTGAAAATCGACAATTCGTCGAATATTTAGGCGAAAAATCGACAGTTTAGCAACATTCGAAACACAGAGCGACATAAAGGCGAAATTCCGCTTTATTTCCACCGGACAGGCGAAAAAGCAGACATTTCGGCGCATTTCCCCCTTTGTTCGCCTTTATTCGTTGTTCGGGATGCATTTGCAATTAAGCACATGTACGTTATTAATAAGACATTACCTGTATTATTTTTCAGCTCTCTTCAGATGACACGCGTGTCACAAACAACCAAAAACGCTAAATAATATTGGGGAAATGTCGATTTTTCGCCTGTACGTCGGTTATTTAGGGGAAAAGTCGATTTTTCCCACTTTCGTCGTGTATTTGGGGGAAATTTGTAGACAATTCGACGTAACGTAGAGCATTTGAATGAAACGACAATTTGTCGGATGTTTAGGCAAAAAATCGGCTTTTTGTTGGTTATTTAGAGGAAACTTCGGCTATTTAGGGGAAAATTGGAAATTTAGCGACGTTTAATAAACAGAGGGACAGAAAGGGGAAATTCCGCTTTTTTTCCCTCGGACAGGCGAAAAAGCAGACGTTTTGGTGCATTTCCCCTATATTTACGACATATTTTCCATTGCATTTTCCGCTTTATTTCCCCTTTATTGGTTGTTTGGGCAACAGTACAAACACACTCTTATTTCAAGTACTGCGTTGATTTCTTGGTAATAACAATATCAACAAGTCTTCTTACCATCGAATTGGACATGGTATATACATGTTAGTGATAAATACTACTAGGAGTTATATTTTCTAGTGCGACGCTCATTGGGATCTAACACTATAAGCTTAACAGCAATTAGATATCCTAATTGTTAAAACTAGAATTTTATGAACCAACTATTCAAATCCGAAACAGCAAGAAACTTCGTGACCCATATGCTACATAAGCATGACTACTTTAGGCCATTGGTACGACTAGAACTGGACCAATTCCTTCTTTACAACGTAGGCGATTTTTGGTACTAAACATGTATTGGGTAACACTACAAACTACTTATACGTCTCATATTTTCATAAAACGTCTTAGTCCGGAAGACGCAATTGTCCCAACGTCTTAAAGTATCTTAGGTGGATGATATTTTCGTGATACTATCACGAATTAAAAATGGTACATAGTACGATGCAATAGTACACTCCTCGATGTAATCCTATAGGATTATCTCAGATTGTTTATCCCTTACAATTTACCAAAAAAGTAAACCATACAGAGAGCATAAAAATTATAATTACTGTTTATACTATAACTATATCTGTCATGATATTAAATTGAAAGGAAAATAATGATGAGCGAGAGCAGGCTGCACGCTTCCATCCCTATTCGTACTTGTTTATCGAGGTTTAACGGCTGAATATGGTTACTTATAAAATCTTTTGGAGAAAGAATGGACATGTCAGTATATTACTTATTTAAACACATAAATATTGGTACAAGTGGGCACCAGTAGTATTGCACAAGTGCAAAGATTGATTCACTCGGATAACGGACTAAAAATAATACTAGCTTTTTCCGCTTTGTAGAGAAACTAACCACAGCTATCCAAAGGACAGGTAGATATCAACCACGTAGAGCCTGGGACAGACGAGTATGTAGATAAGCAGCCATATCAGACGAGATAAAAATTACAACAGATCGATAGAGGGTTGTGACAGTTAGTGAAAAACTGAACCCAGATAGTATGGTTTGCAAATAGTTCATAAATATGCGTACAGGGATACCGGAATCGAAGTTTTAGAGGAAGGTAAGACAAATGCACCTATCAGGTCGTGACCAATTATGTACAATGTCATGAACCACTGACAGCGAAAACCCAGCAATCTTGCTATACTAACACATCTCAGACCATCAGTTTGTATCTCGAAGGATGCTATGCGGTGGTTTGTCAGCTTTTACCGTCTTCCCTGCTTACTAATACGCCAACACCCCCGTCAATGTAGGAGGTATTTACACATACGTAACACAAATTAACCACTTGGATATATACGGATTTAGTTCATCAACCCATTCGCAATCACAATTTGGTACTCCGTTTAGTCTGAGCAATGCTCAATCGATCGCCCCACGATATGTTGGAAACGTATTTATAGACACGTATGATCAACACTATTGAATTCATGTTTTCCTTTAGCGTATCCCAATAATCTATAGCAGACCGCCATCCACGCCCTATGAAGACGATCTTAGCCACGTCACAAACGACGATCGGTAATACCAGTCGATTTCTGATACTGTGTTGAGAACTCGTCAGGCAGCGATTTACCAAAACTGAGAATTACAACGTAGGTGGGACGGTCAACACGTCCAATTTAATCAACCTCTTCCGCTAGAAAAAACGTTGTCGCAGACCAGAAATGCATTCTAAAAATAACAGAACTTTCGCTGGAAAGACTCTGGATTATGTAAGTATCTCAATTTAAATTAAACAATATCTTCGTGTTGTAAATCGACAGGTTAATCTATTTTGAGGTTTTCGTGAATAGTTTGAGAAAAAAACCAATGTTATAAGATTCTGAGGAAATATTGTAGAAAATCAAACATTTGCTATAACGTTTTGGTGTTCTTTTGCCATTTCGACAGCTTCCTCAAAAGCGGACAAAACCTTTCACAAAAATAAGTTGACAAAATACTTAGATTGTTCAACTAAATATACTCCCAGACTGCTAGCAATTAACACTATCCATTAGTCAGATGTGAGTAGCGTTTTAATTAATACTTTCTGACGCACTACAAAATGTGCCACAAATCTTATAACACGTATCGAAGCAATAATAAAACGCGATATTATTTCTAAACAAGTGGTCATTAAATTTCGTGACTATTAATTGACGCCAAACTTGATAGCATAAGCAAATGGAGTAATGAGTCTCTTGTCGACATAATTGTTATTCCATTAAAACTTGACTACATATTATGACTGCTCAACAGGAGCAAATCAGGTGATAATGTATATTTTTGCAACATATGTACATTGAAATGATTATTATTCACTCGTCCACCTTCATCTTCTTTGATTTCGGTTGACCATCCTCTGACTTTAGTCCCCGCTTAACCGCCGATAATTTTGGGTTAAACTAAAAAAAAGCATCATTTTGATAAGTTGAACTTACAGTTCCAGCTTCTAACTGTCGAAGTCTTTTTTCTAAATATGCCCTTGCTCGTATGCCCATTTCTGTGTCAGCACCCTCTTCACCAAGAGCATCTAGACGAGCTGATAGTGATGCTTTTGCAGCCAACATTCGTGACATTTTACCCTTGAATTGATTGTCTGACTGTGTCACTAGTGTGGCATGATACAACAGACCGTATTTCGGAGTGTTATGTCGTGTCTTTAATGCTCGGAATAATGCCTTTTCAGCTCCTAGTATCTGGACTGTTGAAGCAGGATGTTTAGCTAGGTTGACAAGTGTTCCTGCCCGAGCTATTAGCCTAGCGCCCAAAAGTTCTCCAACGAGAGCTGTCAAATTTGGAGCTACTGCCACCATTCGCTTGATAAGATAATCGTGGAGCTGAGTACGGGAAGCAGAAGCTTCAAGTACCTGATCGCACAGTTCGTTGATCATAGTAATATCCTCATCGATTACTTCTGTTCCTAGGGAGACTATAGAGGCCTCTCTAATTTGACTAGCTATTTCATCCGGCACGAGGTCTGACAAGTCAACATTTGAATTTGTTCTATGACCTGTGGAAATGATTGAAACCAGGTGACTTACCGATGCGTTTGACTACTTTGACGTATGTTACATTATCCAAAACTATCTTCGACAATTCAGGAAAATGCCACCCGTACATTTCTTTAGCACGCATTATATAGTTGTTTATTTCTTTATCTAGCTCGTCCATAAGGCCTGACATAATAAAAACAGTACGTGAATTTACCGACTGCCTGAACTATCATGGTATCAATTTTGTCTGGGTTACATTTCAGTTTATATCTATCAAGACTGTGAGCTAAACCTAAGCGCATCCTCATCATGTGACTGTCTTCAACGACAGGAAGGAGGTTATCAATGTGTGTCCGTATTCCTCGCATGAGGTTTTGCACAAGAGAATCACTAACTGTTGGTATACTCATTTTCGTCTGAAACCATATTAAACATGCATTCATACTTACATTAATGTCCACTGACAACTTTTTATCGGCAACTGCAAGCACATCGTCTCTTAGCTCTTTGACATACAACTTTTTCAGAAGCTTTTTTAATTTTTTAGATAGTTTTCCTTCCATAATGTCCGAAGCAGCTACAAAAAAAGATATAGCAATTAGCTCGATCTATAAATTTTCTAACAATAAAGTCATTATTATTAATGGCTTCATTCAATATTATAATCTGGTACGATATAGAATTCCCAGTTGATTAAACAAATCAAACTGGGTCCTGGAGTTTCACACACAATAATCAGCGCTCTATATATGTCAACTTACCTACTAATGCATCTTTCGTATCTTTGAACTGGACAAAGCGCTCAAGCTGGATTCTTACTGGAGCATGAAGTATTCTCGAAAAATAAACTTACAGCTGATTCATTGTGGCCGTATCTTCGAATGCTTTGGCCAAATCGTCGATTTCACGAACACCTTTTTCATCATGGACCTTAAATACTGCATAACCCGCAGCTGTCTCGAAAAGAACCAACATATCCACGCCTGATTTTCAAATTAGCCACCTTATGCAATATAGTTCCAGATTCACTTAAACAGTAGTTGTAATCTTAAGTTTTAATTGTCCTGCCAACCGTTCTAGTTCATTTACTAACGGTTTATGAGCCATTTTTGTCATATTTATAAACCATGATGGATTGTTTTGTTCTTTATTCTGTTTTACTTATTTCACAGTTTTGCTGATAATGTTGACTATTCAAATGACTTATACATTCTTTTTCATACGAGTTTCTCATTGTTAATGTTATTTTATTCTCAACGGATTAAATTCCATATGGTTTTAAATGGAAGGATGGTGATTAATTTATTGTACTATAAGCATTCTAGTTATAATTATAGTGGGGACTTAAATCACTGTTCCGAGAGTTTTGTTGGTTTTTCAGAAAAGTAAACAAGACATATTTTATGATACTTATGTTTTATGCATTCTTGATCATGGATAGATAATAACAAAAAAGAATTGGGTAGAGAATGTAACCATTCCAACCCCATTTGATAACGCTTGACTCACTATCCATAGAGAAAAATTAGCTAAATACATGTGATGAATGGAGTAAGCGATATACATAAGTTAATACAAAGATTGTTGGGGTCATTTGCTGATAACAGAAAAAGTTAAAAATGTGTGCATGATGACTCGAAATGAATAAATAATGTCTTGCCAAAAGCTAGAATAAGTCATGGAGGAGTGGCATGTTATTAGATATGTAGCGATAACTAACCCCAAAGTATATAGTTTTGTAAGTCTTCGACATTTGATGCTAACCTGGTTAGTTTTAATGGACATATCTAGCTGAAGGCGCCCAATCACGCATCCACACTTGATCACGAGTGTGTATGCTGTGCTACACATCTATTACAGCAGTTAGCCAACTTAAATTAAACGCTTCCCATAAACCGATAGTCTTTCAAATATATCTTCGAATCCCTTCATTTCTGACTTCTGATTTGACTGGGTTAGCATACTGCGGCTATAAGAATGTTAAGGGTAAAAGCTTTTTAAAAATCTGAATACTTGCGGCTTCCTTAGTGGTGAGCACGACGTGATCTGATAAAACAATTCGTAAACTGAATCTGTTTCTTGTTGGAAGATCATATATCATTTTTTAATTTTTATTTTTACCTGCTGTGATATTGTTTTCATATTTTCGGATATTTTTTCTCGCCAAGTAGTATATTATATCTTCGCCACTATGAAACAGACACAAGCTAATTAAGATCAAACCTCTGTCGCCTCTCACCCTACAACTCATGCCATTCTGGCTCTACAATATCGATGCCTGGTTCTGTTACGCAGAAGCTGAATTCCATGATCACGGAGCGGCAGACCCATGTTCAAAATTCCTCGCAGTAGTGAGAGCAATACTCTAACATTTTAACGATTAAGTCATACGTATATGTTTACTAGTGGTGTTTCTAAACCTCACGACTCTGTGAAGAAGGCTATGCTTAAATGTGAATACCGAAATTATTGACAAAAATTAGGCCACCTCGTCCACAATATCGAACTCCAACAGAAATACTGCTGCGAATTCGAAAAGTAATTGGTCAACGGAGCCAAGATGAGGGCCTGTTTAGACAGCTCTTCTTGCATAAACTTCCCTAACTGGTGAAGGAGGTCCTTGTCACATTTCAATATAGCGCTGTAAACTAACTGACTGCATCCGCTGGCCGGATTTTGGAGATCACCAAGACCCCCAACGCTGAAATTCGCTCTGTTAAAGAGAAGCTTCAAACAACGCAAAACAATGTCAGAGACCTCTGTCGTACTCTGATTCGATATTTCGATGTTTATCATAACCGTAGACGCTCTCAAACTCTCCAAAGAAGCTCATCTCGGCTAAGATCTGTTTTTAGAGCACTCCTTATTAGAGCTCGGATCATAATAAATGTGGTAAGCCCTCTATAAGTTGCATAAAACCCTGCAATTTTACGAGTTTCAAACCGATCGACATGAAAAACCTTTCGAGAAACTTCCCAGCCAAAACGCGCCAACAGCAACCATAGCCTGTAAATATAGTCGTCTGTTATACATCACGGATATGATGACCAAACGCTCACTGCCTCATCAACACTGGTGTACAAGTTAGTGCCTTTCCTGAAATTTTTAACGACCGATTGCACAGAGCAACGGTTTCCATATACGGTTAGCGATATGTGTATCTCAAACCCATCCACTGAATTTTTGTTGTTGCAGATGTTTCTATGCTAACCGTTAGTAAAGACCTGCAACAACACGATAATCTTTTCAAAGGCACGCGCGAACGGAGGTTAGTAAATGGAAAAACTAACTTATTATCTGTTTATGTAACTTCCTTTTCTGGTTTTAGATTATTCCAAGTCGCTGTAAGACAAATGATCGATCCACTCTGCAAACAGATACCCTGTAAGTACCGACTTATACCAAAGGCGAAAGAATTTTCAGTTTGTAACTAGCGACGTCGGGTACCACATCACGACAACAGGACCACCTGTATTCTCGAAAGAGTGCCGACTAGCTCCCGAAAATATAAGGTCGGCAAAAGATGAGTTCGACCAAATAATAGATTTAGGAGTCATTCAGCTATCGAACAGCTCAAGGGCGTCTCGTTTGCACATGGTCCTTAAACAGGACTGCAATGATTGGAGTTCAACTGATGGATATCGGTGAGTGAATACAAAAATCATTTTTGATCGTTACTCGTTGCTTCACATTCAAGATTTAAGAGCTACCTTGAAATATACAACTGCTGTTTTAAAAACCAATTCGTTTAAAGCATAAAACCAAATTTCTATGGCTGCTCATGACATTCCCAAGACAGGTCTCATTACCTCTTTCTGACATTCCGAATTTTCAGGCATTCCTTTTGGCTTAAGAAATGCTGCGCTAACTTTCCAGAGATTCATCGACGACGTTTATCGAGGTCTCAACTTTGTGAACGCGAATATAGATCGCTGCTTGATTGATAGTTTGAACAGAGAACCTCATTTTCAGTATCTAGACCTTGTCTTCGAACTACTACAAAAGCACGGCATTACTGTAAACATTCAGAAGTGTCAAATCGGCACAGAGTCTCTAGATTTTCTCGGACGTACTACTGATGCTCAAGGCATCCGACCTCCAAAGAGAAACGTGGCAGCCGTTCTGGATTATCCAGAACCTCCTACAATCAGGCATATACGTAAATTCAACGACCTGATACATTTCTATCGACGGTTTGTAATGACCTACTTTTGTGACGAGAACGCCATCGGTATAATGGTAACAATTATTATTACAACCACTTGTACCACTAATTGTTCTACTGTACTTGCTTGTTTAACTTTACCAAAGACACTTTCTTCCGTTGTCTGTGACCTTGGATGAAGTCGAGTACGCTCAACAGTTCCGCTCGGATGCTGTGGCACGTCTTACTATACTTTTGATACCACGAGAGCGCTAACAAGTATATCCTATTCCAACCGTAAACAGCTTTCTGTTTTTTGGCTTACGGAGGGATCCAACTCGGTATCTGGCATGTAATCTTTTTGTAATCGTGAACATAGTCAACCGGGACTGGACGCCAACGATATCTTGTGACCCAAAATTTTGCACACGTTTCAAAAGCTGAGAAACCTTCAGAAGAAGATTACCACGATGAGTCTATTATCTATCTATCTGTCCACTTTTGTTGCACGCATTTGTATTGATGTTTTTCAATATATAATATTCTGGGAACAATTCAATATGCTGGATAACGATAAGAGTGGAATTAATATTATAGACTCAGAGGTACAGGCCATCAATTTTCGACCTTCTTCCCTTATTCCCCACGATCCAGAAGTTTGGTTCGCGGCACTGGAATCTCAATTCGAGATCTGCCGTATAACGAACCAACGACAGAAGTATGCTTACGCTCTGGAAATGCTTCCTGGGGATCACATTGTTGCTGTTGGTGAGATTGTCCTCAACGCGAATGTGTACCTAACGTTTACAATCGTCTCAAGGAGGCGATCTTAAGAGATTTCCTACCCTCGAGGGAAGGGCGATTGAGGATTTTATTAAAATGTCTCCCTATGGGTGACGCCTAACCGAGCACTTTCTTCACGCCCCTGCAATCTCTCGCACGACCCACGACAGCCGATTCCGAAATTGTTAAAGAATTACAACCAACGATTACAGCTCTACTCCAGGGCACTTCACTTACCCAGGTGGCCCTCATATAAGACAAGATGTTGGCAAGGACTATCACCCAAGGCAACTATATAGTTGTCTCAACACCACGTTCGAACATCGATTTCGACCTACGCCCTTAGCGGGCATCTTCCAAGCCACGCCAAAAGGCGGCTTCGGAAGCCAGTTGTTGATGTTGGTTTCACAGTGCCTTCGGGCCCCGTGCCGGCTTTCGTCGAGCCCACTTTTCATGCAAGGCGGAAAACTTCCGAGCTGGCGAGTAAATTAGACCGCACTCGCCGGCCTTTCACCTCAGGTATGTCGCTTACTTTATGTACACAATTATCACACTTACGCTAGGTACCTAGTGGATACAGGTGCCCAAGTGTCTGTCGTACCCATTGGTAACAGTAAGTTCCAAGCTACAGTGCCCTAACTACGCTCTGAGAATGGCTCATTCATTCCTACCTATCATACGCGACAGTTCACGGTCAACCTGAGCAGTCAACGACAGTATCTGTGGGCATTCGTAATTGCCGATGTTCCTGTAGCCATATTCGGTATTGACTTCCTACTGCACTATGAATTGCTAGTCACTTCACGTAGGCTGTGGCTAATCGACACTTCGTTGAACAGTAAATTAATGTGCATTAAAGCTCAAGCAGACGCGTACGGAAACACAGGTGTATTTCATTCGCGTGACGATTTATTCCACGCTTCATTTCAGAAACTCCCCAAATTAGCTGAACCTCTCAAAGAGATCCCATCGGTGACCAATCGTGTGGGACATCACACAGTCAGCCGTGGCCCCCCAGTCACGGTGAAACCTCGCCGAATGGAACTAGGCGAAAAAGCTTTCGCTAAACGTGAGTTTGA